GGCTGGGAGCATCTCGCCCAAGTGAGATAGAGTTCGCTCAGGCGAGGAGTCGTAGGAAAGATAGGGTGTTTTCTGGACTCAATCTCGCTCAGGCGAGGTAGAGCTCGCTCTAGCGAGATTGTATCTCACTCAAGCGAGAATATCAGAAAGATGAGTAGTTTCACTGTCTGGTTATTTCGCTCAGGCGAGAAAGGCTTGCCCAGGTGAGGATGAAGCTCGCTCAAGCAAGAATCTTATCGCTCAGAAGAGGTCGTGCAAGTTTGGAAGGATATTTAAGGAACCCTAGCTTAAAAAACATTAATTTCTCACCAAACGACCTTTTCTCTTTGTTTTCTCTGTTATTTCTCCTTTCTCTCTCAAGGGAGAACTCTCCCGAACTTCAAATCTCTTCTAGATTAGAGCTCAAACATCGATTTCATTCGGATTCAAGTAAGTTTCTCGGAGCTTAGATCTCTATTTTATTCCTTTCCTTCAGTTTTCTTCTCATATTAAGATATCTATCTCAAAATACTTTGAAAAATTCATCTGTGGACGATATTCTAGTTAATATCGTGGAATTCTCTATTAAATATCTCAAAGAACTCATTTTTAGGAACCATTTCCAGGTAAGGGAAGTATTCTCGAGCCTTAGTTTATATATATATATATATATATATATATATATATATATAGTGATCCCATGAGAATCTGAGTAACCTATTTTAGTAAAAATCTATAAATTTTTATGAAATCATATGGTGAAAGTATATTTTTGGTATAAAGAAAGGTTTTGGGTTTATTTGAAATTAATGAAATCAGATTCTTAGAAAAAGTTATAGGTTAGAACAACATTAAGAAGTTTTAGAACTAAGTTACTTAGAACGTATATGAGTTAAGTCATAAAAGACACAAAATACTGAACTTTAGCTTAGAAGACCATATTGAAATTGTACGAATTGGATTGAGTCCGAAGTGTTCGACCTTCAGCATATTGTACTGATTGTATGGTGTGATATTGTGTGATATTTTATGTGTTAATTGTGACACCCTTACTACTTATTACGCCATCAATATAAATATAATATTAATATAATCCAAGCAGTAAGAAAGCCACATGTATGAGTTTACGTCTGTTCACATTAATAGAAACTAAATACATCATCTGCACCAGTTATCCAAATACATATATATATATATATATATATATATATATTATCTGTAAAAATATACAGTCGTGCAGTCATATAAACATATACACATAGCTGATTTATATACAAAATAAAGTGGGGTCACGATATCAGAGACAACAACAACAAAAATGACCTCACAAGCTTTCTCCTTAGACCCATGATTATCAAAAATACCATTTCCTCCAAAAGTTAACAGTACTCTAGGAGTAAATGAAAAAGTGAGTCTCATGGGTACCCTGATGGGGATGGGGTATACCCGTGAGCCTGGTCCATTTCTATCTAACAAAAAGGTAATAGTGCCAGTATGGGTGGACTGTTGTTGTTCCCAATCGTGCGCCCATCTTCCTTCAGGATCATATCTGACTGTGACGCTGAACTGGTATGGTGGTCAGGCCATTTGTGTCCTCACTTACTAAACATATTCACATACAACACACATAACAACTAAAAGGGTGAGACAAACCCATTTCAACCAAAGTACAGTAGAAAACACGTCAAGATATTTACAATCATTATAGCAATTAGCACCAACTCAACACATAATGTACATGCCATGTATGATTCTGTGCATCACCTAATTAATTGCTATACTGACACATGCATGTGGGCCTAAATCATTTTCTTTTTCTTTTTCTCTTTCTTTTTCTCTTTCTTTCTTTCTGGGAAGGATCAGGAGTTCACTATCACCAACCATTCTTGGTCATAACCATCTCATTAGATAGTTTTAAAGATATAGCTCAACTGATTCTGATAATCCATCGGGTTCTGTCAGGATAGTCCAGTTTTGCAGTGAGAACCGACAGCACAGGGTTGCGAGCCCTGACCTTTGCCCGGCTCAATCACACCCAACTATCCCCAAGACTAACCTGGAGTCTCCCCTAGATTTCGTATACTTCCCATCCAACACCATCATCATTACATGCTTATGATGCATGAACCTAATTTCAGTCTTTTAATTAGGTATTAAACATTTCTTTTTAATCAACAACATATATTTCAAAATTTCACTGACAATCCGGCAGAGTTTCCTCTATAATTCAGATATTTCTAAATTTTCTTCTCTCTGCAAAATAGCCTGAAAATTTCAATACACTTCGAATTTTAAACAGAGTCTCACCACCACCACATTTCACAACTTTTCTTTTATTTCAATGGCTCTCAAATACCTTTTTCCAATTATCACCACATTTCAAAATACCCATTTAAAATAATTCTTTAAAATGAATTAAAATCCTTTAAATTATTTAAATATGTATATAGGTATATTTTAAATATATAAAAACTATTAAATAAATTTTGATCAAACCACTTGAAATTAAAGAAGATTTTTTTTAATATCTTTATTTCACAATTCTCTAATTCTTTTCAACTTTCAACAGACCTTCTATATGCTCACTCCACATGAATGATAGTTCATTCCTCAAGTATTTTAGGTAATCAATTATTTATACTGAATTCAACAAACAATTATCATAGAAACATTATCACACATAAAATCAATTTCAAAAAGGAATATCAAACAATTGTACACTAAGTATGGAAATAATTATAAATTCTTTCAAATAATTCATATATACATAGCAAAGAATAAAACACTCATTTCTCAACGTTTTTCTACTATACCCGTGAAAATAGATATGTCCCCCCTTACCTTGAAATGTATACCGATTTTTTTCTCACCAACGACTTCTTTTCACCACTTCTCAAACCACGATCCTAACCAAATAATCACACATAATCATGATCAATGTTAAGAGGCATTAATCACCCAACCCACTACTAGTGAGTTGAAACTATCATTTTCTAATTTTCGTAAAAATGGCTTACGGGTCTTACAATTGTTTTCTATGATGTAAATGGAATACTATAAGCCTAAAGGTGATTAAAAATAATTATTTTTCCTTCATAACACTCTTGGGACAGCACCTCTAGACCAAGGGTTTTAAACCCCCAAATGTATTTTTAACAAAACAAAAAGCACCAAAATTATTTATTATAAAATATAGAAAGATTAAGCTAATTAAAACATAATTTCGAAATAAAATTTTTGGACAAAATCTCACCCTCATGCAACTGTTCCAGCACCCAAAAAGTGGGAGAAAATAAAAAAATTAATCGGTTAAAAGTGTTCAAAATGATGAAAATAGATGGAATATTAAAAAAATTTAATGAACTTACTTGAAAAATCAAAAGATTAGAGCCAAAGAAGTTTCAAAGCTTTTGGAAGGAGAAGAAGACACTTACGGCAGCCAAGAGAGAAGAAAATGAATTGGATGAATTGATCTTATCTTAAATAGTAAAAATAATAATATAATATTAGAATTTTCACTAATTCTTTTGTAATTAATTGAAATAATTAGATAAAAATTCCAAAATTTAAAAATAATCATGAAATATATTAAACATAATTATAAAATAATTTTTGACACTATTGGTCCTTTAGTTGGTGTCCAAAATTTTTACAAGCAATTTCTGCTTGAGCATATAACTAATTTACGTAAAATTAATCAGAAAATTCACAAATGCTCATTAATTACAAAAAAATTATTTTTATATTTCAAATAATATTTATAAATAAAATATAAATTTTTTTATAATTATTATTATTATTATTGTTATTTTTAAAATAAAATGTTATTTTTAGTATTATACAGCAATTTTAACCAATACAAATTGACATTTTTTGAAACTTAAAAATATAAAAATTAAAAATTACCAAAAATTTCTTAAAAATATACCTAACAATTTTGTCTAAAGCATCTCATGCTAATTCTATCTCAATTTTTTCCAAAAAATCAAGTACTATATATTAACTTAAAACTATATTAATAAATTAATCGTTTAGAAAAAACGAGGATGTTACATTAATTTTCTATGTTAGATTGACATGATGCAATAAGTATAGATATAATTTAATAGCCAATATGTGTCCAAATTGGGTAAATGCACGTGAATAATTGAAGTAGTGATTTATTTCAAAAGTATGTGATATATTAAAGTAGAATATAACTGAGAAAGAATGAGATGCATGATTATTATGCGTGAGTCAAAACAACTTGAAAAGGGTGATTATAATATATATCGTGGCATATTGAAAGGTGTATTATAATATATATATTGTGATCCACAAATTTATATAAATCATAACTCACATATTATGACATATTGATTGATAGAAAGAATATAGAAAAAAAAATGAGAAATAATTAGAAAGAGGTATATACATGACTTTATATAATTTATTTCTAAATTATGAGAGAATTTTTATTATTTTTTATACTGATTTTTTTTTATAAAAATCGTTAAATGTTTATGCAAATTGAACTTGAATCTTAAAATCTATTTTTTAATAACTAATTTTAAAATAACAACTTTATAAAAATAAAAATTATTAAATATTTCATTTTAAAAAATATTTTAACATATGTATTAATTAATATTAAGGTTTGCCATATGTCATTACATATGGTAATACTAAATTAAAACTGATTAATTAACTTAATACTTATAAAAAATATATTCTTTCATTCTCTTAATTTGTTAATAGATAAATCATAATAAATTATTTTTAAAATTAATTAATTTTTAAACATCAGAACTTTTGTGGAAATCAATATCATATTCAAAACTTAAATAAATATCCAAATTTTAAGGATGCTGAAACTAACACAAAGGACGCATGGCATGGCCTCGTGTCCACCTTGAAATAGGGCCCCACGCCTAGTATTATGCGCCTGTGTCACATTCTTACCATCTTCCTTTAAAACAATTCGAAACTGAATAAAATAAAAATATTAAACAAACCTTTTTCTCTTTTTCTTTCTTTTTATTCATCTCTTTTCCTTCCCTACAGGCCTACCCTAATTGAATTCCTCGCCGAGTTCTTATTGTTCCTACGTGCCGATCGAAATGCTGCACCCGCCGATTCAACGCTCCGACGCCGGTGATCTCCGTCGCTGATTCTCCGACAACGTTTTGGTATTGCCAATTCGCCTCTTCCTTTAATTTCATTTTTCCGTTTGTTTCCGGAGAAAGTGAAGGAAACCGACACTATTGAATCTCGCTTGTTATCTAAGTGTGGAACACAGTAGAGTGACCAAAACATGTTTCTGGGTGTAATTATTATTATTATTATTATTATTATTATTATTATTTATGTGAAATTGGGCTTTTATGTGTGTGTGTGAGAGAGAGAGAGAGAAAGAGAGAGACAGAGAGAGAATTGCACGCTAAAATGTGTTTTGGGTGTGGCTGCCTTGAAGGTGAGATCCCCTTCTTTTGCCATTTCTCCCTATGGATTTTAATATTTTATTTGTTATTTTACTATCCTTTTCTGACGAATCAATCGGAATTGTCTTAAGATTTTTTAAGAAAGTGTACGACAGTTTAAAGTGGTTGGATGTAGTGATTAAGTGAGTTAAGTTTTATGTATAACTTTTTTTCAATAATGATTTCGAACAGTTTTGATAATTTTGGCAAAATACAAAAGCTTATTCCTTTTGGCCTGTTTTAACTGTTCGAGCTTTTCTACAACAGTTTCAACACATTATTGGAGCATAAAAAACAATAGGAGGTCTTAAAGTTGTTTTGATACTGTGTTTGTCCTAGTGTATTCCAAGTATGCATCTTGACTGTTATCTGTGTTTGTTATCTTACAAACATTGAACTTGTTCAACTGAGCATATTCTGTTGTTTAATAATTGAACTAGAATAAGTGGAATGGAAAATATTTTAAAAAATTGCTGTAGAGATAACTAGATAAAATTTTGACTCTGTGGAAGCCGTGCTCATGTTGATAAATAATTAACTTTTGGTGAAAGGCCATATATAGATATTGTTTTCTGGAGCACCGATGAGCAGAACTGATGTTATTGGCAGTAGAAGGGGGAGGATTCTTCTCTTCTTCAGCTTTGGGGTATAGTAAGGGCCTGACCTTTCTCCTCTTGGGTCAGAGGAGTAATGATAAACCCATGAGAGTTTTGCCTTGGAACCAGTACGAATTGGTAGACCAAGAATCCGAACAGGAGCTCCCGCTGGCACCCAGAAAAAGCAGCCTATTCAGCAGGTGCGCTTCCTTCATTTGTGTTGGTTGTGCTTCTGCAAGGATTGACACTCCATCTCATCTTAAAGTGGGCCCTGCCAAACATCATGATGTCTCTTCAGGGCCACTGGTTTCCAACAGGGGCAAGCATCCTTCTGCTAATTTAAATGACGATAGGAGAAAAGTTGGACTTAAAAGTAGCCTGAAAAGGCAAGAAAATAAGAAACCAGCTCCTGTTGAGGCTGCTACTGAACATGAGGCATCAGGGGAACTGGGGAGTGATGCTCCTGGTCTAAGAGAGAGAAGGAAAGTGCAGTGGACAGATGCTTGTGGTAGTGAGCTTGTTGCAATACGAGAATTTGAGCCCAGGTATATCAATTTTATTTTCTTATGAAAATACTCCGTGAATATACTTTCTCTGCTTTTGTGTTCTTTATCAGGCTTCCTTTTCCATGATCAAATGTAAAACTTAAAGGTCTTGTCTCTTGTGTGTCAAATTTTATCACTAGGAACTCTTGGTACTTTTATTTGCGTGATTGACAGTGAATCACATATGCTTTTATAGTCTTCTTTCTCCTTTCTTTTATTCTTACTGATTTAACTGTCTGATATTTATTGTTAGAAAAGGTCTAAGAAATGTTTCACAATTTGGCTCAGGGCTTGAGTGAAAATGGTTTACATTTTTGTGACGCAAAGTTTGAGCTGATTTATGAATACATGAGGCACATACATGGCTTCACTTTTCAGAGACTTCTACATCTAAACAATTTTAGATATTCTGAATCTTAAAAAATTTTATATTTTGTTCTTTCCAATTGCTATTAGGTCCATCTGATACTGTTCTAGAAACTAGTTTGAAGTTTGACCAAACCTATCTGTTGGTCCAAATGATTAAATACAGCTGCATATTTCCCAGGCCATTTGAATGAATAATATAACTGTACTCAAGACACAGATTACTTATTCTTCAAATAGGTATTTCTGATCTTATGATAAATTGGAGACCCCTTCCCTCACCTTGTTCTCACCACTCATTGACTGCAACATTTTGAAGCATTTTTCCATTGATTATTAGTGTATGGACTTCCCTTAGATGTAATAGAAGTTCAATGGCAGTGTAGGGCCAAGGAAGTCTTTCACTAAAAATTTCTTATGGTGTTTAATTTTGTTAGTCCTATTTCCTTAGTGCCACTGCATTCCTAGGTAATTAATTCTTGGTTTAATTATGTGATAATATGTTTCATTAGTACTAAATGAGTGTTTGGATTAGTTTATGTTGAACTGATGGGGTTTTAGGTACTATTGAGAGAGGAAGAGAGATAAAAGATGATGAAACACTAAATTAATATTGATTGAGATATATTGCAATGTATTGATGTCTTTGATATGTGCATGAAACGTATAACCCTAATCCTTATTTAATAATCCAAGTTAACTCGGGTAACCAATCCTAAGAAATAGGGAGAAAATAGGGAAAGTAATCCTAGAAGATAATCTAAGATATAATAAGCTATTTTCATATATTCTAATAGTTTATTTTTGGAAAAAATAATCATTTTATTTTGAAGCTTGCTAGGAGAGCTTTCAGAAAAAAAAAATGTTTCTAAAGTTACTCTTTCTAAGAGAGCTTTTGAGAAATTAAAAGTAATTATTTAGTTAACCTGTTATACAATAAGAACTAAGCCTTTCCTCATCGTGTCGAGATGGATACATGGATCATATGATACAATTTTCTCTATATCTCTCTCTTCATGGTTTGACTTATAGTTTTTTGCAGTCTCCCTTTACCTCTAAATATTTGGACTGTCTTCCATTTGTTCAAGTTCAACATTCATTACTGGTACTGCTTTAATGGGTTTCTCCTTGCATGCCCAAATCACCATCTTTGATGGGATTCTACCATTTTTATTACAATGGGAGCTACCTTAACTACCATTGTTAAACATGCTGTAAGTATAAGAACTGAAATCTAATTAGATTTCTTTGATGTTTGACCAAGCAAAGACTAATAAGACTATGTCATTTTCATGACATAGTTGCTCATGGTTTTCCTTTGTGATCATTCTCAAATCTCACTGCCATCATTTCATTGATGTGGCTGGCTGCCACAAGCATCTTCATTCCTATTACCTTGATGTTTGCAGCTCCAGCTTCACCAACTACACTACCATTTCCCAAATATTGCACTCACCCCTCCCACAAGATTATCATAACAGTGTCATATTAATTTCCTTCAATCCTCTTCTGTGTGAAACCTCCTAGAGCTATTGTTTTCTCTCCATGATTTGCAACAAACTGATGTTCATTTTGTGCAAATTGTGGAAGTAGTTTCCCCATATTTAAGCTGAACTAAACATCCTATTACTCCAAATTGGGCAATAATGCAAAAAATCAGACAATGTATTAGTATGTTAGAAATGAGACAAGAAAAATTGTTAGTGAGACACAATCTAAGGCTTTTGAAGAGTGTTACAGAGATGTTGGGACCAAAAAAATTGAGAACGGAAGATATATAAGCTTATCAAGAATAAGAAATTGAAATCAAGAGATTTAGATAAAGTAAAATATATCAAAGATGAAGAAGGAAAAGTTTTTGATACAGATCAAGATATTAAAGAGAGATAGAAAAAAATTATAAATTTTTCAATGATGGACTAGGATCAATCACTAGTATAGAAGCTTTAGAAACCTAAGTGAAGGATTAAAATATGGCATATCATTGCAAAATTGAAGTTGAAGAGGTAAAAAAAGCCTTTAAAAGGATGAATATTGGTAAAGTTGTTGGCATTGATAGTATTTCTAATGAAGTTTGTAAATGAATAGGAGAATAAGGTGTCATTTGGCTCAGCAAGCTATTGAAGGAGATTCTGCCATTTAAGAAAAGCCAAAAGAGTGAAAGAAAAGTATTTTGGTTTTTATATATAAGAACAATTGAGATATTCATAATTGTGTTAGCTACAAAAGGATAAAACTGATTAGTGACCCTGCAATTACAAGAAAAGATAATTGAGCATAGATTAAGTGAAGAGACCAAGATTGTAGAAAATCAATTTTTAATTTTATGTTAGGAAGGTTTACAATAGAAAATATCTATCATCTAAGGAAGTTGATGGAAAGATATCAAAGCAAAGAAAAAGATATATATATATATATATATATATATATATATAATTTTTATTAATATGGAAAAATTAATATCATCGTGTGTAGAAAAGTGTTTTCGAAGGCTTTGGAAAGCAAATATGTTTGTGTGACTTATACTCAGGCTATACAATAGGCCTACATCAAGACTCATCCTTCAGTCCTTATATAATTAACTTAGTCTTGAATGTACTTACTAAGGATATACAAAAGAATATCTTTAAACGTGTGTTTTTTGTGGGTAACATGGAGTTGATGGAAATATATCACAGCAAAGAAAAAGATGTATGTATGATTTTTATTATATGAAAAAAAATACCATCATGTGCAAAGGAAAGTATTGTGGAAGGCTTTGGACAGGAAAGTTGTTCACGTGACTTATATTCAAGTTATATAAAATATGTATATTTGAGAGGTGCGACTAAGGACTTTTGGATAAAGATAAGTTTACATCAAGACTTATTCTTGAGTCCCTATGTGATTAACTTAGTCTTGAATGTACTTACTAGAGACATAAAAAAGATTATTTTTAAATGCGTATGTTTTATGGGTAATATAATTTTAAATGGAGTCAATGAAAGGGTTTAACTCTAAAATTGAGTTGTGGAGATAGATGTTGGAATTATAGGGTTTGCTTGAGTAAGAATAAAACATAATATATGCATTGCATTGCAATTTTAACATGAAACGAAATGAAAATAATTTGAAGGTTAAAATTGGAGATGATATCATACGTTAAGTTTTTAAGTTTAAGTACTTGGGATCTATTTTATGGAACAATGGGAAATGAATGATAATGTTACACACATAATACAAGCAAGATGGTTAAGATGAAAAAAGACATAAATAGTTATTTGTGATCATAAAATATATATCAAACTTAAAGAGAAGTTTAATCGAATTGTTATACAACCAAGTATCATATATGATAATGAAAGTTGGATTTTGAAGGGACTACACAAGAAATAAGTGGTAGAAGCAAAATTGAGAATGTTAAGATGAATGTATAGCTATATAAAACGAAAGGATAAGAAATGATTGTACATGGAAAAAGATTATGGTAATACCTAGTGAGGAAAAGATGATAGAAAATAAGTTAAGGTATATAGATATATGTAAAGAAAGTACTAGAAGCACCAGTAAGCAGGGTTAATTTTAGGGTTTTTGGTCCTATGAAAAAAGAGTAGAGGGGGACAAAAAGATAACTTTGGAGGAAATCATGAAAAGGGATCTCATGATAATAATATCTTCAAAAAACTTGATTTTTTATCAAGTTCTGTGGCATTGTGTAATCCATGTAGTTAACCTCATCTAGTGAATAAGGCTTTGTTTTTGTTGTTATATGATAAATTTGATTACCAATATGTAGCTTCAAAGGAAATGCCATAAGAAAAAAAAATCTCCCACTTCCAAACACATACAAAAGAAGTGTTGTAGGTTTGGAAACTCAAAGCTTTTCATGTGTGTCTTACATGTTTTGTTAAATTTGAAATAAACTAACTTTTCTTGCATTAGTTGTCTACCTTATATCTTGTTGTAGACTTGTTGGTGCATTTTGAATATGACTTGAATATTCTTGTTGCAAATTTGGTGAGTTCTCTTCAGTCTTCAGGCTAGTTTTAGAGGTTATGATATAGTAAGGAGGAACATCTTAATAGGCATCCTTATACCATCGGTTTGGTGTGAAATGTAAATAGTTTGTTTCTTGGTTTGTCAGATTTCTTACAAACCAACATTGTAACTTTCTTTGGAATTTTCATACTTCATGCTATGAAGGTAGTGAAAAGCAACACTGCAATAAACTACTTCCCTCTGTTGTAAGGGGAGCTGAGCTCCCATTTTATTGGATAAATAATATTCCAAGATTTTCAGTTTCTATCAATAACCGAATAAGTAGAGGTAGAAGAAGAGAAATAAAAACTCTAGATGAAAATAATAAATGAGATTCAAATGTAAATGGTCGTATTGTTTTTATGTAACATAATGGTGTTTGTTCAACCAGTGTAGTAGATTTCACATAGTGAAAAGAGGCATCAGCTTTTGCTTTTTGATGTAACAATTGTAAAATTCTTCCTAAAGAATGGCTTGTCCCCATATGCAATTGACATCTATATCAATATGTTTTTGGGTCTCATGCAAGGTTTTGTTGATCGTTGCCAGTTTTCTCTCTTTTTGATATTTAGGCTTCAATCTCTGCCTGGCCGGCAAGTGGTTCAACCTCTGTTTGGCAGCTTTGATCTCTCCGTCTGTCTCATGATTCCTGTTTCTTCCCCTAAACAAATATTAAAGTTAACATATAACCATGGTATTCATTACAAATAGCAAAATATGTGTCTTCTCCATATCACATATTAAAGTATGTTTCAAATTAAGCTAATCTTCCGTTAATATATTTTTTAATCTCTCATCCTTTACCATATTGGTTGACAACCATTAGTTTTATTTATTCTGTGCAGAACTTTCTGTTATGCTTTATGTATGAGATGCATGTAATGGAAGTTTCTAACCTTTCCCCTTGCCATATTTATGTTTTCTTTGCCTTGTTTTGTTAACTTATTTGAGATTGGGATTGTCATTCAACTGCAGTGAAACAGATGGTTCAGATGATGAATTTGATAATGGGAATCATAAAACTTGTTCCTGTGGAATTATGTAACCTGGTTTTTCATGAGATGACGCTGACCCATTTTTGAGGTGTCAAGTCGCTGATTGCCATTATTTTCCATCACTCAGCTTGAGGAAAAGGAGCAAAAGTTTCCAGTCTAATGGAGATTTATGCACCATCTTTTATCTGAGCGATCATTTGTGTCTATAAATGCTTGCTGGGTGCCTTCAATTTTGTTCCTCTGTTTATAATGAATTTGTTGTGTTGTCTTTGTCATGTGTATTCTTTGCCTTTTGATTCACGACTTTTTGTACTTTTCTGAGGTTCTTAGTTTTTATATGGATCAAACAAAATTCTAGTTTATTGCTCTGGCCCTGTTATCTATAAAAAACAAGATAACATAGATGTAATGTACCTTTATTTATAAATTGATTCTTAACTTTTAAATGAGAGTATTTTTAAGAGATATTTTAAATATGGTGCAACCACTTTTAGGAGTTAATTTTCTTTCTCTTCATGCCCAGTGACTTTTCTTACATTAAGCATTTGTTTTTTTAATTTGAATTTAATTTTTTCTTATAATTCTTTAATTTTAAAAAATCTATATTTAATATAATTAAATATTTATTATTAATCATTATAATATTTATTTTTTAAACATGATGCCAGTCTGTATACAACATAAACATAGTTCCTTTATTGCTCTTGCTCTGTCTTATTTTAGAGCAATCCAAGCTCATGAGCCATGCTAATTTTAGAGGGGTACAACTTTTCTTGCGATTTGAACTTTGGAATAACTGTTGGGATTATATTCTGGATATAATTTTAGGCTTTTACTTTTATGTTAAATGTTTTCTTTGATGTATTTAACAATTTTCCATTTAGCCTAATCATCTTTAAAATAAATGTGTGAATTTGAAATATGATATACTATAATGTGGTCCTGATATAGATATAATGGATATTGATGTATTAAACATATGCTTTGACCCCCTGGATTGAATATAGTTAGTCCATTTTATATCTGGATATATATGGGTAATTTGGTCTTTCAATACATTAAATTCCAACCTTAGTCATTAATCCTTGGTCTGGGTAAGTGTGAAGTGCTAAAATTGTGTGTGTAGACGAACGACATCGATAGAAGGTTTAAAATGTCATAAGAATGAAAACACACCTTATACAAGTGTGTTTTTTTCTTAATGTTTTATCCCCTTTCCTCTAACACCATCAACACATTTGTAAACCAAAAAAAGAAAAAAAAAAGCATTTAAAAATATTTACTTAGGTAAAAAAACTAATCATTTTAGAGATCGAATTTAAAAAAATTATTAAGTATATGGACTAAATTTATTCTAGTTGATGTGAGATTAATTTCAACACTATATACTTAAGATTGAATATCTATAGCAAGAAAATTATAACACTGAATTTTTTAATATTGCACTGAAAATTCGTAGAGTAAGATAGGTTGCATTTAAAAATTCATGTTAATTGCACAGGAAAAATATAAATATAGGATTGATTTTTTTAATATTATACTAGAAATTTCGAGGAGTTAGGTAGATTTTGCCATAGAAAATTCGTAGGGGTAGGGTAATTTTACTAGAAAAAATTGTGACTAGGTTTTTTAGTTGATGGCGGTCTAATATCTGATGTACAAAAGATTTTAATATCATCTTAAATTTTGAGTTTAAAACTAACTCAACTATAAAAATTAGCTCCTAAGGTGAAAATTATTTTATTTTAGTCTTTATAAATTTTACTTTAATTATATATGTAGTTGATATTAGACTTCAACACACCTCACCCTCTCACGCTCAATGTTAAATATTTAGAGTGTGAAAATTATAAGACTAATATATATATTTTTTAAAAATATATTACATTAGAAAAGCTATGAGATCAAGCGGGCTGCACTAAAAAGTTGCAATTCAAAAATTGACTAAAGTAAAGATTATTCTAACATTTATTAGTTTACTTTAGTTATAAGAAGGGATTTCGAAAAATTTAATTTATATTTAATAATAAATGTAGTAATATAAAGATATATACAAATGACATTGTATAAAATTTTTAGTATGTTGTTGAATTTAAATGTAACTTCAATTATTAGGGATAATAGTGAATTCAACGAAAAAGAGGAAGAGTAAGACGTTGATCATGTGAACAAGAGAAAGTAAAGCTGAAAATATAAATTCATCTCGTTGTGTGTCATGTTTTTCATTAACATCAATACACAAACAAGTAATTATTGATGCAATTAATTAATGTCGCATTTAATATTCATTAATTACATGGTGGAATAATCCACCTCAACAGGTAAAGAACAATAGTTTGAGCTTAAGCACAAATATGAAAATACACTGGGCCTAAGGATTGTTGAGCTTAAGCATCGATAGATGAATTTGCAATTTTATTTTATTTAACAAATTTAATCCATAAATTAGTTTTTCTTTTCATAACTCTTCACTATTACATACTTTTGGAATTATTAAAAATTAAATAAATACTTATTTAACAATTGAACATCATAATATAATTTCTTACAATAATTTAAAAATATCTTAAAATTCTTCAAATACATCAACAAGTTAACTTCAAATTTTAATTATATCTTATTTTTCTATAATCTTATATTTTGTAAATTTTAGACACTAATTTTTATACGATTATTTAATATAATATAAAAATGATATTTAGTAAATCATAGATGTGATGTATGATAAACTTATTTTTTAGTTTACAAAATAGTAATATAAATTATTTATGACTAAAATTTTTAAATTAAGAAATTAAACTATATTAATTATATACGACTATTTTATTTGCATAAAAAATAAAAATTACACTAATTCTATAATTTTTTTTATCTAGTTTGACTATAAGAGTCAATCAACATATATTATAAGTATTATCTTCTTCTGAAGAAATATTTACAGCCTAATGAAAGTTTTCTCTCTCCTAATCCCAGTTTTAAATATAGAGTCCGATTCCTTAGTCAGTAAATTTCGATATACTATCATTTTTCACCCATTTAGCCAAAATCTTTTAATATAATACTATAATAATTTATTTTAGTGAATAAATTATAATTTAATCATTGATCTAAACACAACATATAATTTTAACTCTAAAATCTTCAAATATAACTCTTCCAAAGTTACCAGCCAAAAGAAAAAACCAACAATGGTGGGCGCTGGGCATATATTCTAAAAGCAACAGGTATCTATTATTATCCTTTGTGTTTGAGAAATTTTACCATGAAATATCAACACAACACGTGTGGATCTTTATAGAAAAAGTTGACACCAACTACAAAAAAATTTCTCCTTGTGTTTTCTTAAACCACAACACTCCAAAATCTAGTGGCTGAAGACACCAAGGTTCTGACCCTGGTGAAGTAATAAACGACACATTTTTTAAAGCTTCGTGTGGTTAAGCCACTCACAACTCCACATAACTAGCCTTTTTCTGAGGAAACTTGGTCATACCTTATCCACACACAACTATTCTCTGATTTTGATAAGATACTACATAGTACAAGCCAATATAGAGGGAAAATGCTAAAACAGAAAAAACATAAAATAAAATCTGAAACACAATTAGTTAGCATCAGGATAAAAGAAAACAAAAGAAAAATGTCTATGGCATTTTCAATTCCATGCATCAAAATCCCAACATGTTCCTCTTCTACTTCTTCATCAACTTCATGTAGATTCTCTTCTTTCAAACCTCACAGTGTCACCATAAGAATTCTCAAGCTGAAGGGCCTTTGAGAAGACCAGTGGCTCCCCCAATAAGAGAACCATCATCAAGTAGTGTCCCTCAGCCCTTGAAGCCAACACCTCCTACTCAGTCCCCACCATCTCCTACAGTGAAGTCTCCCCCACAGAATCTAGTCACTTTTGTTGGATATGATAAGAATGTCATTACATTAGAGTTTCAGAGGCAAAAGGCTAAGGAGCTTCAGGAATACTTCAAACAGAAGAAGCTTGAAGAAGCAGATCAAGGTCCTTTGTTTGGATTCATTGGGAAAAATGAGATTAACAATGGAAGGTAAAAGTTGTTATTGGTAAAAATAAAATTGGAGCAATTATTCTATGTGTGGAGTTTATGTTAAATGTATTTTCTTTATGATGGTACAACTGGTAAACTGTGACTAGATACATGATTCATTGGTTCTTTTTTATTATTATGTCTTCTTTTCTCCCTCAACTTCAAGGGAGATTGTCATATTGCTAACCATTTTTTCCCCTTTAATGTTGGCCTAATTGAATTGCATGAGTTAGAGCAAAAAATTGGGCCTTTTTGGGAAGCTTTGGCAAAGAACTAATCAAGGTTCAGAATTCCCAATATAGCAAACAATGACATTACATTTACATTTTCAGATGGTGAAATTTTACATTTTAATTAAATGGCTTTGTGAAGAGTCACAACTGATAAGATGGAGTTATGTCAATAACATTGTGAAAGATTGTTGTCACAATCTACTGGAAACAAAGTTTTATGCATTGTGGGTGTAATTGAAGTAGCTAACACACTATTTCCATCCATACCAATGAGTTGAAATGTATGTAGCTCAGAATCAAAGAAGCATCTACTCAGCTACTTGAGTTTAATAATTGTCATTCTATATATTGAACAATTTTCTTAATATGTTTGAAGATATTGTATGTCCTAAGCCATATATTAACAAAACTCAAATTTTTATTGTTTGTCCTCATGCACTTTAAAAAACTATTCATCAAATACTTGCCATTAAATTGAATATGCAGTTTTAGTGCAAGCTCTCCTGTATTTGACTTAATATTTTGATTCTACAGATGGGCAATGTTTGGTTTTGCTGTAGGATTGCTAACAGAGTATGCAACAGGCTCAGACTTGGTTGATCAAGTAAAGATCCTTCTCTCAAATTTTGGGATAGTAGATTTGGAATGAATACATTAAGATAAAAATGCTGTCATTATTTCTTGCTCTCATCGCTGGTGTATACAATGTTGAGTAATTTGTTTTTTGTAATTCATTCGGAGCTTTAGCAAACAAGCTTTGTCTTCACATTGATGAAACCTCAAGGTTGTGATTTTCCCTTTTCAGTGCTAGTTTTATTTTTGTCACTGATGAGAACGGAAATCGTGTTCAACATGTGTCATAGAGAAAAAAAAATTGTAAAAACAAAAAGACACGAACAAAGAGAGTGAAAGAAAAAAGTCGTAGTGAATGGCGTTGGGAATAGGAGAAGGGAGGAAGAGAGGAATATCGAGTTGGAAGAGCAGAGGAAGAAGGAAAAATATTAATAAAATAATGATTTAAGCGATTATTTAAGCAAATCAAATGATTTCCCCTCATAATGTTGCTCTAAAACCATGTAAGGATCTCAGGTTTGAGTATTTAGTATTTAAGTGTGTTGTAAGATAATTTTGTTATTTACAGTGATCTTATTTAACTTAAATAGAATCCTTTCTAATAAAAATATTTAAGGTATAATAAAAAAAAGTGAAGAATAAAGTTGTGCATAGATTGCATTCATACTCAATTTAAATTTATTTTAACTTTAATTTCATAGATTTAATAATAAACTATTTTATTTTTAAAAAACTAATTTAAAATTTAAAATTGATTTAAAATCAGTTTTAAATTTATGTTTTGTTGAAACTATTTTTAAATATAATATTTTATATTAAATTCATTTAAATATAAGGTAAAAATGTTTTTAATATAGTTGTAAATTTAATTTATAAGATAAAACCAATCTATTATACTTTACTGTTGCATTGAATTAATAAGTTTTAAAAAAATTTAGTAGTCTTTATTAATTATATTAAACTTTATAAAAGTTTTTATAAAATATCTTTTATTATGTTTAACTTATTTTTAATAAAGATGAAAGTTTAAATTAAAACTTATAAAATAAATATTAATAATATTAAATAATAATAAAAATATTATGTTATAATATTTTTTAAAAATTAAAAAGTAAATTTAAATATAAAATAAAAATAATAATTAATTTTAAAATATTTATTATATTCTATATCTTTAGTATAATAACTATACTTTAAAAAATATTATTTAAAGTAAATATCCTCACGTACAATATAGATTTAGATGAATAAAGACAAATTTAGTTTTGAAAAAGTGAATTAAAACACTAACTCAATTAAAAAAATATAGGGAACCAAAAAACTAACTTAACATATGTAGTTGTTTTAAAATTAGTTATAGGTTGGACTTGCATAATTAGATTTTTTTGCCCAACCTTAATGAATAATTTTTTCATGTTCACTTACTTTGGTCTACGTGTTTGAAGAGGATGGTAGAGGATTTATTTGACTTGTTAAAGAGATTAGAAAAGCAATATGTTTGTGTTAGTGTTATCAAAAGATTTCCTGCAATTCTTTCTAGTATGGAATGAGTCAATCATCTACTTTGGTATCTTATTGAACAAAAATGGTGATATTGTTCTTCCATTGATCAAAAATACTCCAAAAAAAGTAATGTTGATAAATTTTTTTTTGAAAAATACATTACACAGACAAGAGATCCAAAAATAACAGAAAAAAAAATTATAATTTACTTGTTCCTGAAAATATTTTATCTGCTAGACGTCGTAGAGAGTTGAGAATTGTAATTTGTTTTCAGTGGGCAGAAAAAACTAGAGATAATGGGAGAAAAAAAAAAGATGCTTAAGAGAAAGATAGAGAAAAGTTTTGTAATTGAAAATAAAAAATTATAAGAGTTTAGTTTTTTTTTTTTTTAAAAAGAAGAAATTTCATATGATAGTTATTTTTATTTGAAAGTTTTTAGATGAAAGGATAAGTATTTATAAACTCTCATAATTATATATTTTTAAATTCTTTTAATTTGGTGAATTTTATATTAATTTTTCTTTTTCCTTCCTTACACTTCAAACTATTTTTTTCTTTCTCAATCGAAACTTTCGAACAAAGCCTTCAAAATATGGCCAAAGAAGTTGAAAACTCAATTAAATGAGAAATTAACTTGCAATAGCATTTGCTTACCCATGGCGTGAAATAAACATAAATAAAAATTGACATGCTGTTACTTAAATTTGTTTATTTAACTTTTTTAAACTTGAAAGTTATAAATTATTTCTATTTTATGAGAAAAATTTTATTATTTTATATTAATTTTTTTTAAATACTTTGTGAAAAGCTTATCCAAACTAGCATTTATAAATACTTATTTAAAGACACCTTTTTTTAACCTTAACTTTCTTTTTATAATAATTTATATTTCTTAGAAAAATTAAATAAAAATATCTAACATTTATGTACATATAAATCTAAATTTAAGTGTTTAGTATAATATGGTTGATATTTTTTTTCTTTATTACATATACACGCACACATGTTTGCTAAATGTATTTCAACTTGTTAGCTTTGAATTTGTTAAAATAATCCATGGTAGGAAAAATGAAAGGAAACGTGTAAGTTTTAAGAAATGAAAATAAATTAATTTAAGTTTGAATGGTTCACTTGTCTAAAATATTTTAGGTTATTTTAAAGTTTTCTTATTTATAACCTTTGATTTGTAGCAATCCACCGACTTAGGATGAGACATCTCAATACGTTTTTAATATTTTAGTTTTAGCTTATACATGTAACTTTAAGTTTTGAGTTTCTATTTTAATTTTTTTTTCCTTTTTATTGCCTGAAACCTGAATTTGTGCTTTTTTTATTTTTATTTTTTGCCATAAATTTCAGTTTTTTTATACTTGACTTTTTTTTGTAATTTTAGGTATTATTTTTTTTATTTTAGACTCTAATACCGAACTTTAAAATGTGAATCCAATTCAAAAGTAAGAAAAAGTGATCGAGCTATAATTTAGACTTGAAATTCTCTACTTTACCAATATTAAACTTTATATCTTGAAAAGTTCATTATTTTAAAAGCAAAACTTCGATAAACCTAAAATGTCAATTTGATAAATGATTTTATCTTCCATAATTAATACAACATTGTTTACAAGCTATTGCATTCAAGGCTGGAAGACATGAAGTCTCACAAATTGTGTTTGAAGGGAATGAAAATAGAAGAAAATAAGTGAAGAGGTAATACATTTTTTTTTCGCAATTCAATCCAAAGAAAATTAATGACAATAATACTGTGCTTGCTTAATGTGCTTCTAGACATTGTCAATGGGTTTGAAAGTGTTAAATATTTTGCAAAGGATAAAAATAAATAATGTGTTTAATGCATATTACGCCCCTAAAATGTTAATAAAGATCCAAAATATTTTGACACAACTATCAATCACATTGATTGTTGGAACTTTTTATTCAATAAAATGATTTAAATGTTATTTCATAGGATACGACTTTTGACATAATAAAAACCTTTAGGTTTTTTAGAGTTAAGTAACGTGGAACTAAATAGAATTGAAAACTTGCTTGTTGTGATTACACTAACAATTACATAGGTGATAATGTATTATTTCTTATTTGTCTTAAGGAAGACTTATATTCCTTCTTCTTATTCTTTATACAAGGTACTTTTAATTAAATTACATAAATCAATAACATTAGTTAAAGTTCGTTATTATTTTGTTTTTCAACTATTATAATATGACAATGTTATCCTTAATTAATATCATTGACTCTATCTCTACTATCAAAATTTATCCTTATTAATTTTATGATTTCTTTTTATTTACATGGAGACAAGTTATAAATAAAATACTTTTATTGAAAATCAAAATATTTATCATCCCAAAATATATACATGAAGAGTTCCATCCATTAGCTTGTAAGTTAGCGTGTACTTATTTAATTTTTTTAATTTCTTTTAACGTATGTTTGACAAATTAATAAATTTTATAATATTTACTATTATCACTATATTAAAATTTTCAATATATTGTGATTACTAATAAAATTTATTATACATATATTTTTATTTTATACTCTTAAACACACGTCACAAAAGCCGTTATATATTATCAAATATATTTTCATTAAAAGTATATTAAAGAATAAAAAGATTCAATGTGAATTGAATTTGTACTCGTCGTTTAGAAGAACTTGTTAGACTTTTGTCAAAATTTAATTTCTTAAAGCTAATCCTGATTTAGACTTGTACACAGCCTCAACTATCTAGATGAAAGGAAGAGTCAATTGTAAAAATATGTAGAAAACCTTAAGAGGATTTTAACCACCTCAAATCGTTTGTTGGATAAATAATAGCTTGAACGAAGAACATAAACGATCAAGAAAACAAAAGAACAAAAAACAGAAAAGGAGTTTAGTACTGCTCTCAATTCTTAGATACATACTAAACTCTTGCCTGTTTGATACATATAGCATGCTAGTTTAGTTTCCTTTTATACAAGACCAACCTAGAAAACCCTTAATAACACTTTGATTGAAGAAAACATCTTACACACTTAATTGTTTTTTTCTGTGTAAAACATTGTACTTGAAAGAAGTACCTTTGAAGATAAATATTGTATACAAGAAAAAAATATTGTTTTCATTTTCTTTTACAAAGGAAAGCTTTTTTCCCTTTTAATTTCATACCTTCATAAAAGCTGAGATTACTGAGCATGCAAGACGAGGTTGTACTTGCCCACTTTTATTCTAAGGGTGTCATAGTTCACACGCCACTGCGAATATCACCAAACTTGCTTTTGATCCACTTGAAGCTGTTTCTTACACTTGTTTTAAGCTTTCCCTCCACTGTGAACACGTTATATGCCTTGATTCTCTTCTTCCTCTTAAGCTCTGGATCATTTGCTGCACAAAACCCACTTCCCTTTTGGCATGGCCCATTAAAATTGTATGAGTTTGATTGTTCTCTGAACCCAAATTCAGTGTAAGAGCAAGAATATTCAGGGAATGAATTGTTTTTCTCCATGACCAAAAACCTCCCTTTGGTCTTTCAACACTGCATGAAACAGGAAATGTTTGTATTACATGAGAAAATTAAAATGTACAAGCTTGCTTGGTTATGGGTTTTAGAAGAAGGGTTGTATCATGATCCAGTGTGGTGGCACCCATGTGTGATGTTGGACTATTGCTATTCAGGTTGTGGGAATCATGAGGGTCCATGGTATTGATGGGGTGGTGGGGCCTACTTGTAGGGAAGAAGATGCCACCATCTATTTGTGGAGACACAATATGGATTCACGTGGGAGTGCAGTGGACCCACCTTGTTTAGTGGGAGGGCCAAGTTTGCTTCTTGGTTTAGTGATTGGTAGAAGATAAGGGGCAAGTCTTTGTTTTCTTTTAACTTAATTGCTATTTTTCATTTACAAGTTCTGTTACATGCATGTTATTATTAATAATTGATACTTAATGTGACATTATATATATATATATATATATATATATATATATATTTCAGACACACATTTTTAAAATACATCTAAAATGTAAAAGAGATGTTTAGAAATATTCTCTTATGGCGATACAAAAAATGTTTCCCTCTGTGTTGTTTGCTCATGGGGAACTTCTAGTGTCCCAACCATTTCTTTATGAAAAGCTAAAAGAAGTGATTATCTCCTTTATGTCAAACTTGGTGGCTCAGTGCTCCGTGGGCCTTGTATTTTCATGCAGATCAAGTCTTGAAAAGATTACCTTGATCCCCCTGCTTTAAGATATTATGGCAGAAATAATCCTATACTTTATGATCTGTTATGTATGATTGACCAAATTGATAACAAATTTAGCTTTTAAAATGGGAAAATATATACCAATTGTTCTCTGCATTTCTTATCAATTAATGTTTGATGAATGGATATCATAAATCCCTTTCCTTGGAAACTTCCATGTATATCTAACCTCAGAAAAAAATAAAATTGGGATAGTCTTCAGGTTGTACTATTACATATCTGGATCTTGTTCAAATCCAACTTTCCGTATTGGAATTTAATATAATACCTTGGAGAAAGGGAAATATAAGTAACCTATTATAGATTTGTAGGGGATACCTAAAATATTGAACTGAGAATAGAGAGATGTGGGATACATGTGGACCTACATGTACGGCACCAAGAGTACCAGTGCAAATGACCTAGTAACATCTTTAGTTATCCTATTGCTGTAGAGTCCAAAAAGTGTAGTTTCTGATAGTGGGTCGGTAGGTGAATTTGGTCCATTAATCAACTTAATGAATCTCTCAAAGTTGAAAATATTGAAAAGATGGACAAAGGAAAATGCAAGTGGAGAAGCAAAAATTGTGAGCTCTGTGATGGGATCGGAGCATCTTATCAATTTTTAGTCCAAACCCCAAAACTGGGGAAAGCCTGCTTGCCATCTAACAAAGAGATTCTCAAGATAAGGGACCATGCTGATTCTTCATTAGTATTACCATCATGGATCAATTCATCAACAATATAACATCATGACATTTTCTTTTTTCATTCTCTGTATAATAAGCGCGCATGTTATGCAATAGTTACCCTCACAAGAAGTTAATATATTTTGTACTAATGATTTTTAGTTTAACTTGTATATTTTGAACTTTTTTTTTTTTTTCAACATTTTGAAATTTTTTTAATAATATATTAATTTCTCTAAATAATCTTGAAGGAGTGAATTTTGTTAACTTTCTTTGGAGCTTTCAAAATCTTTTAACAAAAGTTAATACATTTTTGTACTTTGTAGAGGTCTTGAGTAAAATTATGGATAAACATTTGTAAGAAAAGAAAAATAATATAAAAATAAATAAACTTCTTTCATAAATTAAAAATAATTTATTTTTTTAAATTTCAGAGAAATTAAATAAGATTAACTTTTAAGAAATAGAAAAGTATAAGTTAATTTTAACTTATGAGAAGAGTTTTATTGATTTTTTATATTATTTTTCTTTTCTTACAAATACTTATCTACAAATTTATTCAAACAAATTTTTATTATCTTTTTATTTGTACACTTTACACAAAGTTTTATATGAAAAAATATGATAAAAAGAAAAAATATGTAAAAAGTAGAAGCATATTTTGTAAAACTTCACGAGAATAATATATATAATTAGTTTCTAAAATCATAAATATGGCAGAGAATATTTACTAGCGAAAAAAAAGCTTTTTACATCGATTAAAAAGACCTTTTACATCGATTCTGTATTCGATGTAGATATAGGTGATGTAGAAAGTTCAAGACTTTTTACATTAATTTTTAAAAATCAATGTAAAAAGTGTCATTTTCTACATTAGTTGTTTATACTAACCAATGTAAAAAATGTTCTTAATGTTTATCTTCGTAAATGGCATCAGTATTTCTCTTCTTTGAGAGTTTTAAACATTAATATTATAAATATATTTTTTAAATTAAATTAAAATTCATAGACGTCAATGTTTATAGTATTCGTCATGTTCTTCATGTTCATCGTGTTCTTCGAGTTTATTGTATTTTTCAAGTTCTTCATTTTTGTCGTGTTGATTGTGTTCATCGTGTTTCATTATTGTTCATCTTTGTTTGAATCTGAAACTTAAAGAAGATGCAATGTTCATCAAATCGTTTAATAAGAAAGAAGAAACAACAAAAAGTGAAACAACAAAAAAATGAAAGAAATTAAAATAATTGATGTATTTGAAAAACTTTTGCATGTTCCTTGTCTACGTAGCTAACAGGACAGAAGTTTCAAAAACTTAAGAAAAATTTGTGTTCAAGTCTCCAATTTATGCTATTTTGCTGGCGAGTATATGAAAATTTGAAATTTGAATGGATTCTATATCGGTTTCCTTCCAGAAACAACCGATGTAGAATGTACATTTTACATCGGTTGTAAAAATAATAGACGTAAAAAAGTTCACATAAATTTTAAAAATATCAACGTATTTTTTTTACATCAGTTATTTTTACAATCGATGTAAAAAGTACTTTTCACATTAGTTTTTTTTACAACTGATATAAATAAGTTTACAAAAATTTTAAAAATACTACCGCATCTTTTTCTATCCCGTTTTATAAAAAATTTTACATAAAAAGTATTTTTTATACTAGTGATCGTCTATAAATATTATAAAAATATAAACTTAGTTGCTACGTATGACAAGTATTTATTAATAAATTTAGTTCCTAAAATTTCTGCCACATGTTATTTTAATTTCTAACGTTACAAAATTAAATAACCGTTAGTTCTTAAATATGATGATTAATAATTGTTTTAGTCAATAACAATAAGGATGAAATTAATTTATTTAACATCAAGGATTGAAATGGTTTAATTCTTTAATTTTAATTTTAATTGTTTTTAGAAGAGGAATGATGATGATGAATGTGAACATTGTAAAATCCGTATCACAATGAGAACACTTGTAAAGTGTGAATATTTTTTTCATGCAGAAAGCAACCATGCAACTATATATATAATAACCTGGTTTTGCTTTTCGTAAAATATGGGTCGGTGCTCAATGAAGAGCTTGAACCTGATGCACAGTTTTATCACTACAAAGCCAGACATCATAATGATACATATATATATATATATATATGACATGCACGAGAATCACTCCCTGCCACTTCATGCACTTGGAATAAAGAATTTGCCTACTCTGAAAGAAGAATTTATGAAATATTATCGGATAAATGAAAATAAAGATAATAATTTTTTATTTATTATATTTGCATAATGATAATAGTTAATCTACTCATGTTATTCTTAATTTTTAATTTTATTTTTCTAAATTTGTAATCTCCCCTCTCAATTCCCTTTCTTGTTCTTAGAGCTCAAAACTTCTTTTCTTATTTTTGGAGTGAACATAGGTAGGCATTAGTTAGTGACTTCAACTCACTCTTTAGCAACTAAGAAAGAATATAATTTGTCTTCCATCTTGAGAAGACTATTGGGTTACATCTTGAGCTTTTCAAGAGAACTTCAGTTCTTTGAAAAACAAACTCTTGTGATTATCTCTCTGATTTTGATTTTGGACATCAACTAAAAGATTTACTAGTTAAAATATATGTTATATTTATATGCCTTTAATTTTTTTCATATAAAGTACCATTGACACATTAAAACTCTTGACAAAGCCCCAGTCTAAGGCTAAAGGGTGGTCTCCATAGTCTCAAATGAAAGGAAGTCATATCATCTCCTTGACATTCTTATTACATATCACCCTCTTTTCTAAATGAAGTGGTTTGAGCCCCAAGTCAAGGGGAACTCCATGTGTATTAAATTTCTTTAATTAACAAATATCATTAAAATAATAATTTATTTTAACATTTTTCGAAATCTAAAAATTTAGATACTTGTAATTTTCATATATTAATTTATACGGACTTATGTATATCAAGGACATTGATTAAGGTCTCTTATTTTTCTCTCAACAATAAGTGCCCATTTTAAAGAGTATAAAAGGGTACAAATTTCAAATGATGACACGCCTTCATGCTTAAAATGATGATTCTGCATATTATTCAATTACCCGTTCTTCTTGTTTGAGTTGAATTCTACATACTTTTTTCTTATCTAATTAATTAATGAGGTGTAATATATTCGGTTTTTCCAACATTTGTTTAGGAGAATAAAATAGAAATTTCTTATTATATGTATTTAAATATATGTTAAAATAATTAATATATTTTTTTTAAAATGAAATAGTAGGAGATGAATTTGACAAAAACTATCATACAATTATCATTCAAGATTTCTGCTAAACACTTGTTTTTTTTACATTATTTTAATTTATTAATTGACCAACAAAATTTAGACAACTAGATGTGTCATTTCTTCGTCCCATTTAGCAAAGTTCATATATTTTATAATTGAAAGTGTTTGTAGCTGCTTTTATGTGTTTATTATTATTTTTATTAAAAAATATATAAATATTTTATATTAATAGAACTATGAGAAAGAAAAGAAATGCTTTAAATAAAAAATAATAATAAATTACTTAAAAGTAACAAAGAATACATATTCAATGAGTTAAGCTTAATTCGTGTTTCCCTTTTGGCGGGGCATGC